ATAGTGCTCCTGATTATAAGATGAGGGTCCGAGAGTTAGATGACGATGAAGACCGTGACGTACCTCAACAACGTTATTGCTTTGAGTTATCGATTCCTATGAAGGAGAATGGTAAGAAGATCCGCCAACAACAGTACGACTATTCTGGTGCTATGATTGGTAAGCTGAAACCTGAAGAACGGGAAAACTATAAGAATGAGATTGATGGCTATATAAGGGCTGGTTATTGGCAGGATCTGGAAGTATCCCCATTGCCTCGACGTTATAACTGTGCAATCTCTGATCTTCTTCCAGTGGTAGTGTTCCCCGTCAAGCAAGAGGGGCGACATACTCGTATTCGCCCCTGTGCAGATGCACGGGGGGCCAATGAGCAATCCCCCCGTGCTTCTTATCGTGGTGGTTGTATATCCTCTATCCTTCAGCATATTATGATTGGCTGGCGTGAAGGTTTCTGCGTGCATACCCGAGATGTGAAGAAGGCCTTCTATAAAGTAAGACTACTTGTTCCTATCCGGGTTGTTACGAACTCGAAGGAATTTGTTACTACTCGAATGATATTTGGCCTGGCTTGTGGGCCCTCGGGCCTGGAGCATTGTATGCAGACGATCCTTGCATTGGCCCGACTAAGTTGCCCTGCGAATTCAGTATTATGTCATGGTTGTGAGATCTACCTTGACGACATCACGTTTTATGGAAAACATGCCGATGTTATTGAAGCTGAACGTGTGTTTAAAGAGATAGCATTGTTGTTCGGTTTTCAGTTCGCTGAAGATAAATCGAATGTACTTTGTATTGATCTCCCTGCACTTGAACCATTTAGGCGCATTTTAGAGCATTTAGGCGTGTGGTGGCTCTTTGAAGATAGTTACTTGAAGCTGGTATGTAATCGTGAAGGCTATCTACAAAAGTTGTCTAATCTACATCCGAGTAGCAACAATTTAACTAAGAGGAAATTGTTTGCCATTGCAGGTCTTACATTGGACATGTTCTATTCCCATGCCCTCCTGGCATTCTTTGGTGATGCACTACGTATAATCGGAGGTCGCTCTCCTCTTGATTGGGACAGTACTATTTCCCTGACCGATGCAGAGA